ATTTGTCTTGGTGTAAATACTCTCAGTATACATAAAAGAAATGATACATTCATCAGGAGTCAAGAATCATAAGGTACGACACTTAATGATAGTCATAGGGTACAATAAGCAATCAAGATTCTCAGTTATCCAGCTCATGGTTTGTCCTTAAGGTGCTTTTCAAAAGGTAACTGGACTTTGGTTTTTCTTTGAAGACATTTCACTTCTCATCCAGGAAGCTTCTTCAGTTTTGGCTGAATGGTGGAGGATGGAAGGATTTGTATTCCTTGCAGCCACCTGGAAAACTTGGAGGTGTATCTGCATCCTCAGGGTCACCTGAATAGTGCAAATGAGTGTGGAATCTTCTTGGAACTGCAGAAAGGACAGTGTTGTAAACAGGAGATTGGGGTGTCATATCCCTCCCCCTCTATTGAGAGAGGGTTGTTAGTGCTACCTATGTGTATTGAGATAATTGAAAAAACAAAGGGTACCCTCACAAGCCTGCATGTGATTTGTGGTATTCCTTATCAGTCCCTTCTCCTATGAGGTCTCCCAATATAGTCTCTCCTTGGCAGGCAAGCCACTTTGGTTCCAGTTGAGGTACATTTCCAAGATGAAAGAAACTCATGGAGGACAAGGAAACTCACTTTTGATTTCTTCACAGTTTAAGGATGGACCTGTTTTCTACTGCTGGGAAACACTGTCTTACTGCCCCCAGTGGTTAAGTCATTGTTGCATTTTTTTTTCTCTTCTGCTATTTTAATACTGTACTCTGAGCAGATATATATGGTGCTTCGACTGTGTTGCAGTTAACCATGATGGCCATCTGTTTTTGAAGGGGTTGGCTTGAAACTGTTTCAAAATGGTGGCAGAATGGATGAGACCAAAGGCAGGATTTTTTTTTTCTTCTACAGGTAGTCCTTGACTTACGGCCACAATTAAACCCCAAATTTCTCTTGCTAAGTGAAACATTTGTTAAATAAACGTTGCCCTATTTTACAACCTTTCTTGCCACAGTTAAGTGAATCATTTCAGCTGTTAAGTAACTAATATCATTGTTAAGTGAAACTAGCTTCCCTGTTGACTGCTTGTCAGAAGATTGCAAAAGGTGATCACCAGACCCAAGGACACTGCAATGGTCATAAATGAGAGTCGGTTGCCAAGCATTTGAATTTTGATCATGTGACCATGGGGATCCTGCAGTGATCATAAGTGTGAAAAATGGGTCATAGGTCACTTTTTACAGTGCCATTGTAACTAACTGTGAACTGTTTTCAGTCGAGGACCGTAAGTTTGATGGCTCTGGCTCTGGCCAGAGTCAAGGACTGCCTGTATTCAGTTGTGTCCAATTCTCAGAGATTTTCTAGAGAAGTGCAGTTTTCTTGGGGAGATTTTTCAGAAGTGATTTACTATTGCCTCCGTCCTAAGACTGAGAAAGTTTGGCCCAATCACTTAGCTGGCTTAGTGCCTGAGGTGAAACTAGAACTCACGATCTCCCAGATTTTAATCTGATGCCTTAACTACTACACCAAATTCAAATATAGGAACATCTACTCTTAAACTTAACATTAAAAAAGGTGAGAATTTTAGAAATAAAAGTGCAATCAGTCTGTATGCAAATTAAAGAGCATGTCCCTTATCTCTTTTCTGTTTTCCCAATACACAATTGGCATGTTAAGTTGATTCATCAGGTTTAATCACTACTGTTGGTCTTTTGGGGATTCCCCACAATCACCCTTTTACTTTTTCTGACAAATTTTTATACTTTTGCAAGTAATGTGTGATCTTTCTACTCCACCCCTTTTTGCTGTTTTGCATTGTTTCAGTACAGCTTCCTGTGAAATCTTACCTCAAGTGATTTTGGGTCAGTCACTTTGCTTCCAGGGTTATGGCTGTGGAGAAAATTAAAAGGAGGAAGAGTACTTATACTACCTTGAGCTTATGATGGAAAGATAGGATATTATTCTGAAAAAAATCATTAAAATGAAATAATCTGTGAATTGATATAGTGACTAGAATATTGATAATAAATCATGGTTTGCTTAGTTGGAATCCATGTACCATTTATTTTCCCTAAATTCAATACACATGCCCATATTGGTCATTTGTCTAACCCTGTTGTTCTTTCTAAGAAAGTTTGATGGCTTTTAAAATGTCAGCATTGCTTTAATGTTTGCGTACAGCAGTAATTGTTTGCCAATTTGTTTTTAGATACCAAACTGCCAGAATAACACATGGCATAGATTTTTCCAAAATAACTATGTGTTGACCTATAATAACATTACACTTTATTTTATAATTAACTGCTGGCACAGAGGAGTACATTGAAGCTCACTACACAACTGTTTCATAATGACGCATTGGAAAGGCATGAAATGTTGGTGGCTAATATAGTGTTTGAACCTTGGCAGAAAACGGGCATACCAACAGATAATCCCTGGATAAAACTTCTGATCAATGGTTTTACTAGCAAAGAATAACTTTGGTCTTTATTCTTTTTAGTTTTACAACTCTGTATCCACCTTTCACTTTCAGTGTGCTTTAATGACATCTTGTCCTCAGCTGAACTTCCTGTATTTTAGAGCAACTCACCTATGGGTATTTGGCATTTCCTCTCCAAGACTGAGCAGCTATGGGGTCCCTTCTGGGAATGATAATAAATCTTAATCCTTTGATTTTTAGCATCAACTGGAAACAGCTTCTGATCTAATAATTCCTTCAATGAGCCATTAACATGGCAGGGTATTCACAATGGTTTATACAAAATTAATAATTATAATGAGTTTTACAATAGGAGCTTCTTTCCCTGTCTTTTGAAATGTCTGCAGCTACCCTTCAGGAAAATGGGAAGCTGTCTTATATCAACGGGATTTAGTAAGCCATAATGTGGCTTGTAATAGCTAAGCATGTTGCATGATAGTTAAGCATGTTGCATGATCCCATTTATTGTGGTTTGGTTAATGGCTTAGTAGTTATGAAACAAGTTATTGTCTTGTTCAACAAATTACAATTAAAACAAACTATATCTTTGTATGCTGTATAGGTTAATGACATATGTAATTCAGTATAACTAACATGAATTTTGCAGGGATGCTGGCTAAAGTTGCTCTTATTCTCCCCACTCTTTCTTGCAAATAATATTTTTGAGTCTGATTATAGTAGTAGATTTGTATAAACTTAGACAGAAAGTGTACATCCACATATATTTTTGTTTGCATTTATTTTTATTTATATGAACATTCAATCCTTGCTCTGCAATAAGGATGAAAGACTGAAAGCTTCCATTAGCTTGATATTTGTAATGTAAAATAAAAGTAATAAAATATAATCACAATCACATTGATGTAAATAAAGAGGCGGCCATGCTTCTTTTACAAAAGATTTGTGAATTACCTTGTTCTACTGCCTATAAAAAGAGACACTTTTTATCATTTGAAAGATCATCTATGATCTACTATTTAATGGATTTCACATTGAACCAAATTTCAATCTAAACTGATAGAAACATGCCATAGGTACAGTAAGATCTTTTTAAAAGCCCAAACTTGTAGGAGAGTACAAGGCAATATCCTTAAAGGTAAGATGAAATGTAAAAAGGCATTTGACTGAATCATATCAGAGAGCCAATTTAGTGTAGTGTTTTGGCATTGGATTAGAAATAGAGGCTCAGGTTCTAGTTTAACCTGTTTCAGGCACTAATTGGGTGACTTTTGGCCAATCATACTGTACTTTGTCCAGCCTACCTCATAAGATTGCAGTTGTGGAATAAAATGGACACAGCCTTTCCCTACCTTGACTTAAATATAAAAATAATAGAGGTGGGATAAAAAGTCTTTTTTTAAATGCATCAGTAACATTTACTAAGGGGCCTTTGCTTAAAAACAAAAATCTCCTATTTGTTTCACCGTTATATCAAAGTGTTAATTATGTATACACCCAACTTCCATCTATTTCACTGTTTACAGAAAAAGGCTTTTTGAAAGAAGGCTAAAAAACTTGATTGTATGCTCAATTCTAAGGATTGCATGATTTCATTAGTGTACATCTTGAGGCCAATCGTTTGTGTGTTATATTGCGCATAGATTTTTAGTCCCTGATGGACTCTATATGCACATTATTTTATTTTTTCTCAGTCTGGTAAATTTAGGGTCTGCAATACTATGATTTTCAAATTCCGGACCAAGATTGGATTACACAGTTAAAATACATTTGAAGGACATCCGGTTGGGAAAGTGCAATAACTCCTGTAGTAACAGGATAATTTTCATGAACATGCACACTAAGAGGTAACTAGAGGCTGTTTGTTCAGTATGTTACGTACAGTATTAAAAAAGCCTTAAATGTGCATTTATTTTTTAAACATAAAACATGGGATGTTTTATGGTACTTTAGACCCCATAGTCGAACGGGAGAAAGACATAGATTATTTTACGTAATATTGAGTGGCGTTTTTCGTGCTTACACTAAAAAAAACAAACCCCACTGCGTCCAAGCAAGTAACTAACTACCCAGCGGTATCAATGAATAAGCCTTGCTGAGGTCAGTGACGCCGCCTCCGAGTACATGAGGCAAAAGCGTTGATTTGCAAGGATATGACGCTTACCTGATTCTCTCCTCCAATAAATGAATAAGTAATATCCCCGTCTCCTGCCTATATCCCTTATTCTACCTTTTAGCTTTACTTGGCTCTCCTTATCCCTGAGATAAGGAAAGCTTTCTCCCGAAAACGAGCCCAGCCCTCCGCACCACGCGGCTGCAGCAGCCACGGTGGGGCTGCAATCCGGGATTTGCAAAAGGAAGGAATTCCGAGCGGAGAAGAGAGGTCCGGTCCTCCCAGACGCGCGCCGTCTCCACTCGTGCACGGGACATTCCCTTCCTCTTCCTTCCGGGTGGCGTCCCGTTCCACTTGTTGCTCCGAGGAGCGAATGAGAGTGCCTGTGGAGGGCTTTGTCCCTAGACGCTCTCCGTACGAGCGATGCTCCCGGCTTTGCTCCTCTTGGAGCCTCTTTCCAAGATGGCGGCTGCACGGCCAGCTCGGCGCGGTTGGGTCTCTGCAGCCGGGTCGTGAGTGAGCGAGTGAGTGACATCGCTTCTTTTTTGTCGGTCGGCTGCCCCCCCCCGCCCCCGCGCTCCTTCGCTGTGGTCGCCTGGCCGGGCTGCGGAAGAGCCCCTGTGGGTTGCCATGCCTGCCCTGGTGCACGCATGAAAGACGCCGCCGCCGCCTCCGTCAGAGCCATGGAGGAGCCAACGCCGGAATGCAGCTGCTCGGCAAGCAGGTCAGACTCGGACGGGGCTGCCAAAAATTAATGCATTAGCAAGAAAGAAAGTTGCTCGGTTTTTCCCCCTCCTCCCTTTCCTACAGCTGCCTCGCCTGCCTTTTCAGTAACTTTTTCTTTCTGTAGCTTCCGCCTCTCTTGCTGTTTCTGCAAGAGGGGTTGCTTTTTTTAGATGCTCTTTTTGGTAAAGTAGACGAAAGCCTTTTGCCGACCCAAAAGCACTCTATTACCAGTGCTCTGCGCTCAGCCAGTAGGGTTGCTTTGAGTCGGATTTTGTAGAACGTAAAATCTTACTTTTGCCTTTTGCAGAACGGATTCCAAAAATAGGCAGTTATTACCCTCTTGCAACGAGTGTTGGCCGTATGCATTGAAGTGCATTGAAACCAGTTCTTTTACCTCCCCCGGAAGATCTTTTCCAGGCTCGTTTTGCATTATTCATATGGTAAATAACATTTCAACATGCCACAGCTCCATCCTGTGTGAGCTTATTCAGAAGTTCAATGGGTCATAGTCGAAAGGCAGCGGGAAACAGATCAGGGGTCTAGTTCTTGTGCTCTTTTAGCATGAAAATCCCTCAATCTCTCTGCTCTACTTTTTCTCTGCAAGGGAAAATTCTGAAGCCGATATATTTTCTAGTGGTTGTTGCAGGCTTGCTGCAACAGGAATAATTGCACTAAGGGAAAGGGGTGCAGGTTTCCTTTAAAAATATGAAATGTGGTTGTGTTGCAGTATAGATTGCATAAATCCATTGAAATGAATTCTTCAGTCCTAAAACGCTACTAAAGAAATAGATTCAGATGTGAACATTTGGACAAAGAGGAAAAAGACCTTCATTATTTTGAAATTCATTTCATTGATGCAATAAATTTGACGCTTTTGTTACAAAAACTCAAGTGTACTAAATTTGTTACTCAGATCTAGTATAGTGCTTTGTAAATAAGTTTACATTCAAATTTTTATGAATTTATTTGATCTCTCTTGTTCGCCAGGTTAACTAATTTCCCACTCTTCATACTTTTTGTTCATATGCCACTGTAATGCAGTTTTCACTAAATATTGCAGTAGCAGCATGATATTTCAGATTTTCTGTCAAGTACAGTTCTGATTTCAAGTGCAAATAAGTTAATTTCCCCACCAAGTTTCAACAAGGGGGAAAAAAATACATAAAACTGAGGTAATTGAAAAATGTGTTTTTTCTGTTTCTTTTTAAAGCAGGGTGTTAGAAATGCAGTCTATAAGGTATTCAGAAAATGACTTTCAAATTGTGTTTAACTGGTGATTATTTGGAAAGAAAAGTCTAGTCTCAAGAACTTGGTCCACAGAAAGTGAATCTGCTCTTCTGTTTTCAATGTATCACTATAGAAAGGATATATTTGGCATTCAGATTACTGCTTTCACCCAAACTCCCTGTTTTCCTGAAAATGTGCAGTGCTTTGTTGTTTATACCTTTCTTTATAGTTTCAGGTTTTCTGTTAAGGAAATATTAACCAGTTCTTGTTTTATTCTGTGCACAGCCATGTTGTATGTAATGATTAGGATAGGAATAGTGGCTTGTCATAGGCAGTTCAGGAAACTTTCATGACTGGAGAGGCAAATTAACGTGAATCGGTAGTATTTAATCTTAGAATCAGTTATCTCTACTGAAGAAGATCTGAAATTGATAAAATAACGTTTCCTTGCATAGCAAACCAGAACTCCAGTAACATTAAGATACGTATTATGGATTGCTTGAAACTACAATTTTCTGGAATCTAATTGTAAACTCCATGTGATCATTTCTTTGTACTATACTGCATTGCATATCTAATGTACATTAGTGGGAATTGGTCTTGGGAAATGAGAATGAAAATTATTTCATGCCTCTGATATTTTCAGACTTCCAGCTGACTGTCAAAGTGCTACATTAATCTTTGTAATTCCCAAGCAATTATTTTTCTCACTTGGATAACATCCTGTTGATTCATGTTACTTCTCACCAGCAGGTACTCAGGAAATGCCTTCTTTTAAGACTCCAGCATTGTACACTATCAGTACAGGATGGATTATAAAATAAGTAGTTATATTTTGACAAAAGAAAGAAAGGTGAACTCCTTGTACATATGACTTAGCTTTGTATCTCTTCTTTAAGAAGCCATTGCTGTCTGTACCCAATTTTGATCCAGGCTCCAACCTTCCCTTAGTTATTGTGAAGGTGACTGAGCATGCAGCTTCATAGGACTTTGAAGGAAATAGATTATCTGAACCCATTTCAGTTGGGTTTCAGATCAGGGTATCTTACAAGCATCAGTCCTCTTTGCTGATATCCTTTGATGGAGCTGGGATGAGGATAATGTATCTTCCCTGGCTCTCTGATTTCTCAGTGGTTTTTGATACCATCAATCGTAGTACCCTTTCAGACTGTCCAAGTGAAATGGTTGTGGGGAGGGGTCTCTTGTGCCAGAGGGTGTGTGTTCATAATCCCTTTGATTAAACAGTAAACAATTATCGGGACCCAGGAAACATTCTTTTTCTATCACAGCATCTGCCCTCTGGAACTGCAACACTCCCCCCCCTCCCATTTACCTGAATTCCACCTTGATGATGTTCAAGAGATCTTTGAAAACCTGGCTGTTTTCCCAGACCTTGAGTGAGTGTGGATTTTGAAAGAAGGATTTTATCTAAAGAACCGTTTTTTTTTTCTTGATTCACATGGCTTTGTGTTATTTTTGTTGTATTGCTGCATTGCCTCAATCAATTTAATGCTAGCTCAGTCATGATATCCTCCTTTATCAAGTGCTGAAAAGGAAGCAGTTTATTTTTTCTAATGGATTGGATCTTCTTAGCCTGTTGCTGCTGAAGTTTCTGACATTGAGTGATTGAAAGTGATGCAAATATTTAAACTGTCAAGAATAATATGTCAGGTTTTTTTTCAGACCTACCTTCCTATGAAGGGAGGAAATTTTGTTGTGGCAAAGTTTCACAAACCTATGACAAAGAATGCTTAATGCATGCCCAGTACTACATGCAGTCTAATAAATCCATAGGTAGAGATTCTCTGAACCTCTCCCCCAGTTCTCTGCAAATTGTAATCTCTGTCATGATTGTAAAAACAATCAGCTGCATAAGGAATGACAATGTTAACTGTAATCAGTTAATTTAATTTCATTCCATTTGAATAGAAATTAAATTGCATTAACTTGTTCCATTCACCCGTTTTTTGTTTTATCATGTTTTGATTTAACCCTCACCCCAAGAGGAATTTTCATATCCTTATTTTATGGCTGTGCTTTTATTTTTATTAATCACAGAATGGGAATTAAAAATAGGTAGAAGAGATAGCTATAGGTTTTTCAGACCTAATCTTCATGGCATTGTTTTATTTTGCTTGGGTTTAGCTTTGGAAGGGGCACTTTAGAATGTTTGGAAGTACAAATACAGTATTGGCTGCACCTTGTTAAAGGAGGCTTCTCTGTTTCAAGAATTTCACAGCAGCACAGTCCTGTAGACCAAGGGTCTTCAAACTTGGCAAGTTTAAGACTTGTAGACTTCAAGTCCCAGAATTCCTGAGCTAATATGATTGGAGGAGGAATTCTGGGAGTTGAAGTCCACAAGTCTTAAAGCTGTCAAGTTTGAAGACCCCTTCTGTAGACAGTCTATTTCAGTGAGTCACAGATGAGTGCTATGGTCATGATTCTGCACGTGCTGAAGCATTGCATAGCCATATTAAATATATTCTTAATAGCACAGAGAATTGCAGGAATGAAGTAGGACAGTATTTTCATGTTCCCCTAAAATCTATTGCTGAACCAATAGATTCAATAGATTGGTTCACTTTTGCTGAACCAATCAAAGGATTCTCATTTTCAAAGTAGGTCCGGCAAGTTCTTTTGAGAAACCCATAAGTGTTTGTGAAAAGCCCATAAGAGAATGTGATGACTAAATTCAACATTTGATTTTTAATGATGCATTTTTCTCACAATATGGATTGGCCACAATTATCACGGCCAGGAGCCATTGATAAACCTCTGAACTAAATTCAGCTTATGACATACTTAGTGTGCCAGTAATTTCCATAGACTAATCATGCAGTTGTTGTGTGAAGAAGTGTTCTTTGCCCATGACTATTGTAAATCAGTTGGATAGGCTGATTCAGGGTTCTAATATTAGTGCACCTGGTCCACAAAAGATTTGTGCAACAGTGCTTACAGTATACTTTTTCAGAGAAGCTGGATGGTAAAAGATCCAAGATACTATTACTTAGTAACTTCCCAGTAGTTACTCAATGATTATTTCGCAGAGGAGAAAGGCTAGTCTTGGAATGTGATTTCATGTTTCTCAGCTGGCTTAATTCCCAAACATTTGGAGCCTGATAAATCATGAAACTATAATTGATGCTTGTGTAACTACAAATTGGGAATGTAAATATATGGGTGTTTAGACTTATATAATAATACAAAAAAATCTGTAGTGAAATACTGATCATGTTGCATACAAGGTAATTGGTTTTCATGGAGGATAATACTGGCACAATTTATGGGAAAACTTTTGAATTTTTCTTCAATTGTTATTTATTATTTATTTGATTTATATTGTCATCCATTTTATGTACTATAGGTCTGGGTTGCTCACACAAAAAACAACAAGAAAGAGACAGTAGAACCAGAATCAAAAACTCCTGGCACCCCGAAAACAAATACTCCTTCATACAGCAACATTTAAATTGATTGGGATCCATCTTCCCCCTAGCCCTGTGATGGTGAACCTATGGCATGCATGCTGGAAGGGGCACGCAGAACCATTTCTCCCGGCACATGAGAGCTTGCCTGGAAGAGCCCCACTGCGCATGCATTCGCCGCCGCCTGACAGCTGATTGTCAGGTAGCTGGCACACATGCATGGGGGAGCGCAGGAGACATGTGCATGCACAGAGACTTGCAGCGCATGCTGGGGTCGTGTGTGCATGCTCATATGGATGGCGGGGTGATTGCGCGCAAATGCACAGATGTGCGGTGCACGGAGGGA